AGTTTCAGCACATGCCCCTCAAAAGGTCTGTGCACGGCCCTGTGTGTGTGTGTGAAAAATGGTAACATTTAAATGTTTTCAAGTAAAAAATGTCACTGAATAAACCCAAATACATTAACTTATACCACCAAAGCTACTTTATATGGGTTAAATCTGGCAGAAATAGCTCTTTAATGTGATAGATTCAGGTTATATTTCTAAACACCAAAGAAGTTGGAGAAATTATTGAACAAATATATAAAACATACGAATTGAAAAAAAACGGGGGAAAAAACTGTGTGTGTGCGTGCGTGTGTGTGTGCGTGCATGCATGCACCGAGAAATAGTAACATAAAAAAAAAACGGGAAAAATGTTGCTGAATAAACCCAAATATATAAATTTATACCACCAAAGCTACTTTATATGGGTTAAATCTGGCAGAAATAGCTTTTTAATGCAGTTACAGGTTAACACTTTTTGCAGTAGGCCTATGCATTTAAACATTGTCCCATTTTGTGACATTTTTTAAATAAATTAAGTAAATGGTGAGACTACTATTGCAGATCACCCCATCTGCTCAAAAAGTTTCAAGGGTAACACATCAAATTAAAAAAAGAAAATCAGCTGTTTCAGATAATACCAGCTCTGGTATATTTTTTTTTACCACTTTTTTTTTTTGTTTACCACTAGCAACAGCCAGCATGGAGAATCATATAATTTGAGATGGTCTTTCCAGCAGGACGGGTTAAAAGTTAAATAAAAGTCCAGGTTTTTTGAGAGTCTCTTGGTCACTGCTGTCATGTCGCGGCTCATCTAGCTGTCTGAAACTGGGAAAGCAGCAAAACAGTTTCATTTTAGATAGTTCAAAAGAGTACCAGTAAATACACAAGAAACAGCACAGGTGGGCTGCAGTGCTGGTGAAGTGCTTTATTTTGGCTCATGCGAGGTCATTGGCTCAGGTCTTTGTTAGGTTGGACCACAGTCAGTGCATGAGTTTACTGCGGTTCACACTCGGTCATTAATGCAGAAACACATTGAACACACATTCTGTTCCCACACAGATGAACACACAGCGCAGGAGACCAGCTGCAGATAAGCCCTGATACAGGGGCTGTATTAGAAACACATGCTGATGGAATAAAGGACAGTAGAGGGCTGTGTGAGAGCATGACGACAGACACTAAGTGACATAATGACCGATGAATGGTGGCAGAAGAGTCGCCGCACCCACAGCGTGAAACAACAGTAAAACATTTGAAATTACAGGAGAGATCTATTATCCCCCAATTTGTAAGACAAAGCAACATGTCAAAATGATCTTCTTAATCAGCATTTTTGTGTAGATTTCCAATAGAAACATCCTTTATTGAAGAGCAAATATGGAAAATAATAGAGCTATATATTTTGACTATTTTTTTTTTACTTTTACTTTATTTTGTTTCTTTTATGTTTAAAAGTTTTTTTTTTTACTGGAAAAAATGTCAAAATACACTAATTAAAAATTATATTCTCAATAAAACAAACTTTTAGAGATCAGGTGAAAGTCTTGGAATAATTGAGATTTTTAAATGTTTTTGAAAAAGTCTCTTATGCTCATCAAGGCTGCGTTTATTCAAAAATACAAACAGTACTAAATCAGTAATATAAACAGTAATATTTTGAAATATTATTACATTTTAAAATAACTGTTTTCTATTTGAATATACTTCAAATGTAGTTTATTCCTGTGATGGTAAAACTGAATTTCCAGCAGCCGTTACACCAGTCTTCAGTGTCACATGATCCTTCAGAAATCATTCTGATATCTTCTAACATTTCTTTTAAATTGCAATAATATTACTGTTTTTACTGTATTTTTATCTAATAAATGATGCCTTGGTGAACATTAAAACTTTCAAAAACATTCACTGGCAGTGTATTCTCTGAAAACAAGTCTTAGTTTTGTTTCTCAGTTTTTTTTTACTATTACTGGAGAGCATAATACAAATAATAATTGAAACAATTAATCTTTTTTACAGTATGTTTATCCTTACCATTATTGTTATCATCATCGCAGCGGTACACTTACTCAGGAAGGTTCTAATTAATTATATGTAAAGGGGTTTTATAAATGACTTGTGAAGAAATGCTTGGCAATGGGTGTGAAACATTCCTAAAATTCCCATCCAATACTTGTCTAGTTAAATCAGTGCTGAATTAACTAATTCCCCCCATATCTCCAAAGCGTGAAAGAGAACAATGCAGAGGTCGACCGAGGCCTGACACATGCTGAGAGTGACAGACGGACTTAACTAATTGGTCTAAACAGACAAGGTGACCATTACACATGCTTGAGTCTGCACGGCCTGATGGGTCCACTTACAGAAGCAGGACAGATGTGTTGTGAAGTTCAACCTACATGCCCTCTCCCTCTCTCTCTCACACACACACACACACCCCTTTCCTCTCCCACCATTCCGTGTTAGTGTTTATGACCACACATACTAAAATGTAGGGCCAAGTTCCACAGGGCAAAGTTGTGTGTTTTATATAGAAAACACTAAAAGCGAAAACAAGCTGAGATCACGAACGAGAGCTTCGGGGAGGAGATGTGGAGGGTGTGCGTGTGAGACTCTGGGCTCCTGCGGGTGTCCTGCAGAGATATCTTATACCTGCCAATCCTTTGCTGGCTTTTTTACTGCTCGTGGTTTCTCCTCCCCAAACCCAAGTCATTTTACTGTTTTCTATTTTATGTTACTTGCTGTTGTCCTTTTTTTCCTCCTCCAAGCCAACTTTTATGTGACATTATGGTTTTTTAGAGTGTGGTTGTCTGAGTCTTGTTCTGTCAGACAGATCGTTTCAGTTTTTGTTGCTGTTGCTGTTGTTTTGGTTTGTTGGGCAAAAACTGAGGTCATTTGGAAGTTATGACATAAGGTAGGTTTTAGCGTTATGTGAGGAGTACCATCTCACCATTTCAAGTGAGGTGCTACGCCTTTGACCAGCCAAATCTCAGAGGACTAACTTTATTAGCCATGAAACCATTACAGGATAGTTCATGGTAAACTTCGATGTGAAAGAGATTTCAGCTAATATAAATGTACTAGTAGTGTTGTGCCCCCTGCTGGCGAAGCACATTGCATTTTCCTGAAGAAAAAAAACCCCCCTGAACAGTCACCATGATGACAAGAAGTTTCACACTTTTCTCATTTTATCATATCATGCTTTTGATCCTCGTAGTATTTGTATGATTCAGAGTGACACGTGAGTCTGCACTATTGCTGAGTCGTAATTAATGGCTCTTAAGCATGGGGTCTCTTTGATGGACAGTAGAATGTTAAACCACATAGGGCCTCAGAAATGGTTAGAATGCGGAGAATGTTATGCATGCAGGAGGATGGAGAAAAAGCCTACTGTAGCATATATGATATGCTAATTTCTAAGGCCTCCAAATTATCAACTGGATCAAAACTTTGCTGTAAAACCTGTTGCACACAAACAGCTATGTCCCTTTTGTCGTCTGATTGACAGTCCTCTTTTCAGGTCATTGTACGTGGCCTTTTTGCTGTGAAATCTTTACTGTTTGTTTATAAAGTAAATGTAAGAATAACTTTTATATTGATAGAAATTTTTTAACAAGTTTTTTTCTTTTTCTTTTCTAAAAGCCTGATGTGATGCACAACAAATATGATGCTCAACAAAAACACACATATGCAAACTATATTGTAGGCTATTATATTTTGTCTAAACGTTTAACAAACAATAAAAAAAAAAATTCTGAATATGTCTTTACAGGTGTAAATACTTAAGTTAAATGAAAAACGTTGTAAATGCTGAATGGTTAAACGGTCAGCGCTATTAGAATGTGAAATATTAAAATATGTTACATATTTTTGTTTCAAATGTCTCAAACAAACGCAAATTATTTGTTGTGAAGTGAGTTTCTGAACGACTTTTACGATTACATGCACTCATCACATTTGTTTATGATTTTCTTTATTGTTTTAATAATTTTCTTTAATGAAAATACACACTATCCTACATCTAAATGGCATATTTAATTATACCAATATCAATTTGAAAGCAATTTTATTGGTTGGATTGCTTGAAATAATACTTTGGATTGCCAAAATACCAACGCACACAAATTTAAATAAACACAAAAATACAATTAAAATTATGATCAAAACAGTGTGTTGCTCAAAAGAGCGTTGCATTTGACCTTTATTTAAATTTAATCAACTATTTTCACAGTTTCCTGATTATACATGCATCTCCAAGGTTAAAGAAATCTAAATAATAAAGTTTTACATGATTTTCAGACAACATTCGCGTTTCCTAAATCTGTACAATGAAACTAGTATGACCCTCCGCGCTTTCCGTCGTTCCCACAACAAACTTCAAGTTGAGTCGCGAGCGTTTTTTTAGAAATCAAAAGCGGACAGCCATTCTCACGTAAGCTACTGCAGGATGTTACGTTTCACTAAAACAACAGTGTGCACAGTTTTGTGAATACGTTACGTTTATTGAACTTAAACGAGCTTAACTACTTTCTGTTTACTCTCTTGGGCGGTTTTAATGTGTCAGAAGCTGAATTTCGATAAACATCTCGTCAGTGCTTGTAAGTGTTAGTAAGGGCGTGTGTCAGTTACTTTCGCTTGTGAAGTCCGTTTTAAATCACTATTTTATGTCATTTAGATGCTGGAGTGGCTGTCACACCGTCTGAAATGGATTAAATCATGCCGATGGAGGAACAGAGCTGGTGTGTACTGATTTCTGTTATAATGTGTTACTATTTGAAAGTGCTTTCTGTCATTATTTATTCCCTCTTGTCTCGTTACAAACCGGCATGCTGTTATTTTCCCGTCCATTTGAACGCAAAATTAATTTTGAGGAATGTTTACCCAGCTCTTTGCATCAGTTATTCAGTTCCAGCTCTGGAGAAGAGGAGGGCTCTAGAGAGAAAGGTGTGCTCTACAGATGGCAGGGCTATTTCTGCAGGGTGACCCCAGAGAGACTGCTGCTGTCCAGGCCAGTGCTTCATGCTGCACTGGGGACTTTACATGGACTTCTGCTGACAGAAGGTCAGAAGCAAGCTGTAAATGAAGATGAAATGACCGCATAATTCAGTTGCATACTGTTGTAGTGAAGAGTTTACATGCACCTTGCAGAATCTGAAAAATCTGGGATTAAAAAAAAATAAATAAGAAGGATCTTAAAAATTGCATGTTTTTGTCAGTGCTGTATGATTTTGAGATCCATCTTTTCACCGTAAGGACAATTGAGGCACTCATCATAACACAACAGTCGCAAAAGTTTTGGACATTCATTGATGCTCAAGAAAGTAACATGAGGAAAGAGAAATATTTTTGAAGTTGATGATCAGGGTACTTTTTCTTATTTTACCTTTTGGGAAACATGTAAGTATCTAGTTTAACTTCTGAAAGACAGTATTAAAATATGAGCTTTAGACAGAATAAGAAAAACGTACACAACTTTTTTAAAGTTTACAGATTCTGCAAGGTGTATGTAATTTATACGTCATAGGATAAAATTGATCTTTTATAGTTTTTCATTTAATTTATTCCTCTGAGATATATTAGTTGAGTTTTTGTTTTGTAACAAATCAGTAAAATTTTACATTTTCATGGCTGTGTTTCACCCTCTTCTGGCCCCTTAAATATGTTGTTTTAATCTGCAGGAAATTGTATTTTCTCATTAATTTTCTATTTAATTTAATTTATTTATTTAGTAATAGTACCAATCCTTCTTCCTGACTGAAGACTGATCTCTTGGTCTCTTGGACAGTACTGTATAATTGTCAAACATGTTTCTCTCCCAGATGGGCATGTATATAATTTTGGCGAGCAGCCATGGAAACGAGTCGAATCTCAGCCTGCCGGCCCTGTTATAGAGAGCGCCCTGAGCGGTCAGCGTGTGATCTCTGTGTCAGCGGGCAGCTATCACTGTTCTGCTGTAACGGAGGATGGCCTCATCCACATGTGGGGGGAGAACTCTCATGGCCAGTGTGGCGTCTCTGGAATGGACCAGGTACCCAGTCCCACTCCCGTTAATGTGGTGGATGGCGAGATCCATCCTCCGCAACTGGTCCAAGTCCTGAATGTAGCCTGCGGAGCACAGCACACTCTGGCCCTGTCAAGAAAGCATGAGGTGTGGGCATGGGGTAGTGGCTGCCAGCTGGGACTAGTCACCAATATATTCCCGGTATGGAAACCCCAGAAGGTGGAGCATCTTGTGGGAAGATATGTGGTTCAGATTGCTTGTGGTGGGTTTCACAGCCTGGCTCTGGTTCAGATTCTTTCTCCCCCAGAGGACAGTCAGCAAGCTTGGGATAGATGTGGGCAGTGTAAGCAGAGCCTTTACACCATGACTGACAAGGATGACCATGTTGTTATCTCTGATGAGCATTACTGCCCACTTGGAGTGGAACTGACTGATTCTAAAGAAGGTCGAAGGTCAGGACAGAGTTCTCCAGCCCAGACACCACAAAGCAAAAACTCCTCACCCCACTTCGAAGTATCCCCGTTGACCTTGAAGAACATCTGCGAAGACCCAGGTTTTTCAGTCAGATCTCAGCAAAATACAACAAGCCAGGAGTCTCAACCAGTCCCTGCTTTATCTGAAACCGGACATGCACGTCTACGACGAACCAAAAGCAATCCCTACCCTGATGAGCAAGCTCTGACAGACTACCTCAAAAGAATTTCAGATCAGACCCTCGCTGAGCAGGCCGAGGCCGCCTCTTTGGGAGGTTCCCATCCTCCGAGCCGTCAGTCGTCACTTACATGTCCTTTCCGATCAGACCAAAGTGATGAGCTTACACTACGTCCCTCTTCACCAGCACTGAGTCGAACTGATATCAGATACAGACAACGCTGTGCATCAGATACTGTCACAGACCGGAAACACTCTCTCCATTTAATACCAACACTGGATTCCACTTCTGATGATTCTTCACTGCACTCAAGTGTGGATGGAGGCGTTTGCATCAGTGACCACGTGGTTAGCAATGGATGTTTATTTGAGTCCTGTGAGGAGGGAGGAGAGGCAGCTGGAATGGACTTCTGTCCAGCAGATCCTCTTCAAGTCAAGAAGAGCACCAGTCTGATGGACATCACGTTAGAGGACGCTGAAGCACGTAATCGCAGAGGGTCTTTACCTGGCTTCTCTCCAGGTATTGTGAACCTCAAAGTTTATTTGAAAAATATGTTTATAAAATATTAAATCAGGAGCTAATATAACATTTTATTCATTCTACATGAGTGTGTTGTCTTAATCAACCAATCAGGGCTCAACAATAAGTTGTTTTCTTCTAAAGTTTAGATTTTAGTTGCCCAGCCAACATTTTAACTTGCTAATCATCACAAAATATGACTTTTGTTTTTAGTTGGGCGTTAGCCAACTGGATATTATTATAGTGGTGAGAAATGAGCAGAATTTGCAAAACCAATGTAGAAATGCAAGAAAACAAACAAACATTTAAATTAGCAAAATAAATGAATGTACACATTTCAGTAACCATGCAGTAAATTTTTCATCAACTGGCTTCAGCTTGCCATCCATATTGTTGAGCAATGGTAAATCAAAAATTAGGTTTTGATATATTTATGGTAGGAAATTTACAAAATATCTTCGTGGAACATAATCTTTACTTAATATCCTAATGATTTTTGGCATAAAAGAAAAATCGATAATTTTGACCTATACAGTGTATTGTTGGATATTGCTACAAATATGGCCATGCTACTTATGACTGGTTTTGTGGTCCAGGGTCACATATGACCTGCCAAATACTATGTACTTTATCTTGCTACTTTAACTTGCTACTATTTAAATCATATGCATTTTTTATGCAAAACACTTTCACTTGCAGAAGAAATGAATCGACTGCACACAGGGTATTTCTACAATGGCATCGGTTACTGAAAGCTTTACTTTTGCATGATGCTGCATCCACATTGATCGTAGTTCCAAGAGCACTGTCATATTGGTCAGCGAGACAAAAAGTTACCGAGTGCACTTTTAATTGATAGTTCACCCAAAAGTGAACATTGTGTTATCATTTACTCACCCTCATGTTGTTCCAAACCTGTATGACTTACTTGCTTACACTTTATTTTAAGTTGTCCTTGTTACAGTGTAAATCTACATTTACTGAGTATAATTAATTAACTACATGTACTTACCATATAGGTAGGATTAGGATTTAGTGTTACTTGCATGTAATTATGCATAATTTATTGTTATTATAATAGTAAGTACATGTAACGTGCAACAAGGACACTTGCCACTTATTTTATTCTTTAGAACACAAAATAAGATATTTTGAGAAGTGTTTTTGTCTATACAATGGAAGTTAAAGGTCACCAAAACTGTTTAGGTTCCAGGTTTAAGTAATTTTTTACAGGGATTACAGAATTATTATTTTGGGGTGAACTCTCCCTTTAAAAACTTAAGGTTGTAGAAATTCAGTTTATTTAGTTGGTTATTTGCATGAAGAGTATTTTTAATAAGCTGTTGAATTTCAGTGTCACCTTCTGGCAGTCATCGAACCAACCATTTAAGAGCTGTAGTAGGTGCCAGGACTACTACTACTACCTCAGAATGCAGAAATCTCCTTCCTTCCCTCTACACTGAGGTGTGGAGTTGGGGGAGGGGCCAGGAAGGTCAGCTAGGTCATGGAGACTATTTGCCCAGGTACATTAGAGCCCTCATAAACACATAAGTGTTTTGTTTGTTTAACTGTTCATGTCCTTGACCACAGTGCATGACTGGAAACATATTTTGGTTTTCCTCCTACAGGTTACAGCCTCTCTGCATCAAGAGCTTAAGTAAAAAGGAAGTTGTCAAGATCACTGCTGGAGCAAATCACTCATTGGCACTGACAGCTCAATGCCAGGTAGAGAGGGACTTCAGAATATTTCTCCTTTCGATTATAGACTGCAACAGTGTCTTCAAAATTCTTCAGTAAGGCGTTTTAGGCCTGAACTGATTCATTGCATCTTTTTTATATTTTTGTATGTATATTTTTGCTAAGTACAAGACTGTATATTTATAAGGAAATTACTACTGTAATAATCCCTTAAAGCCTTGCAAGTGATGTAACAGCAGCCTGAGTCTCATTTCTGTCATTTTAAATGTTTTTTTTTTTTTAATATCAGAAAACTGTAGTATTGCATTTGAATGGGATTGTTTGATTTGTAAAAACTTTAAGTAGGTACTAGGTAGCTAGCTA